TTTATTAAATTTATTTGCAGGTGACTCTGGGTAGCTTGCAGAGTTAAAAGCAATAAAACTATAAAAATAGATATTTCTAATAATATTAAAAAATAAAAATTAAAGATGGGGAGGGAGGGAGCAGGATGTGCAGGGTGGGAGGTGGGATCTTCTATTGGTTCATCAGCCACTTCCAGAGTAATACTCCCGCCCCAAACCAACTGGCAGGGCCAGGTCTTCAGGCTCTTGCAGAAGACTAGGAGGGTGGGAGCATGTCTCACCCCAAGGAAAGATGTTCCAAAGGGCAGGAACCATGGCAGAGATGGCTCTTCTCCTGGACTCTGCCAGCCGAAATTCCTTGATCGATGGGGTTCACAGTATGCCTCCTTTGCTGGCATGGGTGGGGCAGGGCAGTCCCATTGGGATGAGACAGTTCCTCGGGTAATTTGGACCCATCCTAGATGTTATTGTATGTGAACAGCTGTAATTATGTTCTACAGCTATGCAGAAATATGAACAGCAAACTCCTGTTCTAGTTTACTTCCAGTTTTAGCTAACTTAATCCCATTAAGCCTTTTATTTGTATTAAGCCTTTTATGTATTTATCAAATTTGTATAGACCTCATCTCAGAAAGAGTGACTCTGAGCAGCATTATGATTAACAGAATGATGAAACACCCTAATGATTTCAAAATCTAAGCTAAAAAAGAACTACAGTTACAGTGCCTAGTGTAAAAGGCTACTCTCTAAATGAGAGGCTAGATTTTTATCTTTGGGAAAAAAATTTTCTCTAATAAATGCAGAGCTCACATCACATCACAGTTATTGTTGTTATTCCTCCTCCCATTTATACCATGTCTTTCTGTAAGTACAGTACAGAGATATTTCACTCTTCCTCAGTGGTGTGCTTTAGATTTGTTGTTCTGTAGCTTTCAAAATTCCCAGCCAACAAACATAATTGCTAGTCCTAACCATCTGGAGCGGGTTGGCTTAATGGAAAGCTGAGTTTCACTGACATTACAATGCTAAGCTAACTGAATAATTTAATATCTAAATCTCAAGAGATGAGAACAATGTAATAATGTTTCTGCTACAATGGGAATTATATTTCTCATTATGCTGCCTCTTTTGTAGTTTTCTTAAAAAATTACATTAAAGTCCACGGCTGAATTCAGATTATATATCACAATTTAGCTCTGTGAGAATAACCTTCGACTCTTCTTATGTTTGTATAAATATTTCTTTCCTAATTAATCACAATTTGCAACATCAACCAATGCAAAATAAACTATGGCTAATATTGAATAATGGGGACAAGCAATTCTTTAAACTAGAGATGATACACATAGATCAAAACTGAGTACTGTCCTGAACATTTGTTTCTGTTTGCTTATTTCAGTATCGCTATCTGTTTCCACTGTTTATTTATGTGCTCATTCTTTATGTGGGTCTTATACAATGCTTGTATAATTGCTATCTTAGCATCTTGTGATAGACTTGCATATTTCTCTTCTTTTAATGTGTAAATGCAGTTTCTATTCATGCTTAATGCTTGGGTACTACTAGGTTTTAAATGAAGGGTGGGAAAAGGTAGAAGGGTTGAGAATGGAAAGAAGTATAAAATGCATGATCAGGAAAGAGACTGATAAATATTTTTAATATTTAAACTATTTAATATTAATATTTATCAGCAACTTAGTGTGGTAAGACTGAATGTAAAATCAAATGAGTTGTTTCCATGACCCACAACATAAAGGAGAAAGACATTTACATATTGAGAGTTGCACCTGAGTTCTACAAAATCATAGCAGAATACATAAAATAATCCTAATCAGTAGTTAATTGCTGCATGAAATCTTATTAAAATAAGCTAGTAAGAAACTAACAACCAGTTTTTAATAGATCAGTCATTCAACACAAGCATATTGAAAGATTTAAAATGATGTTTCATTGATCTGTTGTTAAGCTTATTATAAGTATGTAACTGATTGATTCTTTGGTTAATAATAGGACGTTAAGAAGTAACCTTAGAGTTGTACTCTCTTTTATATCAATTAACTTGCTGAAAACTTCCTGTAGCATTTAAAATATTTAAAACTGCATTACATGTTTGACTGAACGAACAAAACATCACAACCAGAATTAAAAAAAGATTAATAATGGATTATGTTGTAGTATATATTGAGATGTATCAGGCATCCATGTTTAGAATGGTATATGAACACACCTTTTTAAAAAGGGAAATGGTAAGCAGATTTGAATAAATTACAGGGCTTTTCAAAATATTTCGTTCTATTAATTTTTAGCTAAATACATTTCCCAGAATGTTAAATACTATTATTCCAGATAAAGATGCTTTAGGCTTCAAAACTATTTTGTGATGGCAAACCTTATTTATCAATGTTGAATACATTTATAATGCTATATCTATTTATATGGATAAAATAAAAATTATATGATTGCAGGGTTTATTACCATGTTATTGAGATATTTTTCTCAAAAACATTTTGCCAAAATTGTAATAAAAAGCATCTGGTAAGGATCATATTGGATGGAAGTATAACTTGTCCTTAGTAATACATAACAAGACATCCATTCCTTTAAAAAAGACAAAAAAAACCTCTCCATACAATTTGTATATATTTTATATTCACACCTGCTTATTAAGAAAGCATAAACTGATTTGAAATTTAAATTCATTTCAAAAGCAAATTCATTTGCTATTAAAACCTCCCAGAATAAAAAATATAATTGAATTTGCTCACTGCCCCTTACAATAGCAAAAAAAATAAATAAATCTTCAGTTAATTAATTTTTTACTCCAGTTCTTGTGAAAGGTGGAACACCCATTCCTTTTTAACACAATTACCAAGAATCATTATATATGCATGAGAGATGTGCGTATGACTCTATACAAAATAATGGGTTGAGAGTACTTTTTCAATTGCAATTTACAAATGTGTCTCACAAAATAAACAACAAAGTATACATGGAAAATGCTTGTATAGCATGGAACTGACTGCACCAGTGGATCCAAAAAGGATTGGATTGCCCCTTAAGATTTGTTTTTAATAATAGCAAGATAAAAGTCCATAAAATAAATAAATAAAAGGGAGCTTATTTCTTTTTTCTTTTTTTGTACTGTTCTGATTCTTCAAATTATGCTTATGGTATAACTGGGCAACTGATGATTAATAAATTGTTGTATTTTTCTGATGAGGGTGAGAGTAGCTCATCTTTCAAGCAGACCTTGTCCTGCTTGTGAATGTAAATTTAATCTTGGGGGCAGAATATAAGAATTAGTTGCCATGTCTTTATTGGGTTCTGATGAATTGATAATATTACGTGCCATGGTAATGCAATGTCTGCAAAAAGAAAAGCGAACTCAGAGACATCAGGAATTCAGCAGTTCAGCCTTAAGCAACATACATTTTTATTATTGCCTTCTTTCTCCTCCCATGGACCATATTTAATATTTTCTCTCATCTATGAGCAGCTCATTGTTGGTGACTTTCCTTGGAGGTAAGCTCTCAGTGATATAGTTCATAGCATAATTTGGCTGCCCAAGCTGCCAGTAGAATGTAACGATCCATGAAGGAGGCCATCTATAATAATAGTAGATAAATACAAGAAATGGGAGACTGTCCTAGAAGTACTAAAATAGTATGGAAGAGAATACTACTTTGTCAGCAAAAACAAAGTGGTAATATGTGTAACACTGGGGGAACAGGATTTTGATTGATGGAATATTTAATTATATCCAAGAGGTGTTGACTCAGTGACCACAGAAATAAACCTTCTTCAATAAAAGAAAATATTTGTAGCTCAGAGTTGAAATGAGAGGTCCTTGGTGCTCTCTGAGCTTGATTGGTTTTTTGCAGACATTTGATTATGCAAACTGGGTAAAATAATTAGTGCTAGAACTGATGATGTCATCCAGGACATGGTTGTCCCAAAGAAGCTTCTTCAGCTGAAGAAGTTTCTTGAATGAGAAGCAAAACATCTTCAAAGAAACATCAGAAAGTAGAGTTGCCTCTGGAAAAAAAAGCCTTTGGGATAGCACTGTTGATGTTACCTAGTTTGCGTAATCAAATGTCTGCAAGAAAATAACCAAAATCAGAGAGCACAAGGACCCCTCAGACCTTCTTCAGGATGATCTGTTCCCTCCCTGGCTGAACTGTTGATATTCTGGCCTAAGATGTACATTTATTTGCTGTTTGTTCAGGGAAAGTGGGAATGTGTTTGCCCAAAATTTGCGACCACCTTCAATTGTGCCTGTCTTCCACAGTTTTAAAAACTCCTGCTCTAAGTTATATGGAGAAAAATTTAATTCATTTGTTTGATCCATATAATCCTCCTTGCGTTAACTGTACATATTGGCAGGTATATTTATCAAAAGAGTTACATTTACTTGCCAGTATAGCCATGATTGTTATTTAAAAGATAAAAAATGTTGAGTTAGTCATCAAAAATCAACAAAATTGATCTGTTTGATACATCTAAAGAGAAATTTTGGCTTGACTGCTTCTGGCGTGACTTAATGATGAATATAGTGTTTCAAATGGAAACTTGTGGATTCTATTTATTGTTGTTAATGTTTGACTCTTATCTCAGTACTATATCCATAAATGAAATGAAAATCAGCTGATTTAATTGGAGAGCCTATTGTGAATTATAATAGAACTATTGAGAGTAGCCCACCAGAACAAATGAGATTTGCTTCTTGTTAAGATACTACAAATCTGAGAATGAACGGTTTTTTTATCAGCTCAGATATTGCTTTTATATATGCCATTTTCTCCTAACTAATCTCTCTTGAAAAGGACATTTTTATCTGTATATCTGTCTGTCTTCGTAAAATATATTGTTACTTTTCTTGGATAAAGACATTGGCCTGCTTAAATCTTTCTTAAGGTACAATAAACATGCATTCTACAAAATGTTATTTAATTTTTGATGATGATGATGATGATGATGATGATGATAATAATAATAATAATAAGCTTTGATTTCTGTTCCAGGCTTTTGGTCAGGCTCATACTAACCACAAGAAAGTAGCAGCAGATGGAGAGAGCAGAGAGGAGACTTTGATACAGGAATCTGCCACAAAAGAAGAATACTACATGAAAAAGGTTATGGAACTGCAGACAGAACTCAAGCAGCTGAGGAATGTCCTTGCCAACACCCAGTCTGAAAATGAACGCCTAAATTCAGTTGCCCAGGAACTAAGAGAGGTGAGCATGTTTAAGCAGTAATGCCTGAATGGAAAAGCCTTTGAACCTGAACAGTTGCATTCCCTTGGAAGAGGTAGTTATGTGGCAGACTATTCTGAAATTAGAAGTATTTGGAAGCATTTCTCAGTTTTATGATTTGCCATTTTGTCATTTAGCAGCGGTGAATAGGGACATGGTGAAAAAGGATGCGGTGGCTCAGTGGCTAAGACGCTGAACTTCTTGATCAGAAGGTTGGCAGTTCAGCGGTTCGAATCCCTAGCACCGCATAATGGGGCGAGCTCCGTTACTTCTCCCAGCTTCTGCCAACCTAGCAGTTCGAAAGCATGTAAAAAATTCAAGTAGAAAAATAGGGACCACTTTGGTGGGAAGGTAGCCTTTGGCATTTAGTCATGCCGGCCACATGACCACAGAGACGTCTTCGGACAGCGCTGACTCCTCGGCTTATAAACAGAGATGAGCACTGCCCCTAGAGCCGGAAACGACTAGCACGCATGTGTGAGGGGAACCTTTACATTTACCCTTACATGAAGCAGCATTGAAGATAGCTGTTATACAAATATAAGCCTAACACTGTTAATAGGTATCCTTTCTGGGCTTAAGGCTGATCAATACAACATACTTTTTCATTGCTTTTCTGTGCAAAAAAAAAAAAAAAAACCCGAAAAGAAAAAAAAAGAGTCTGAGACATAAGATTGAAAGGATTGGTGGGTCAAGTGAGTAGATTGAAGGGCAAATGTGCACCTGCCTCATTCGGTATACATATGGGAATGAGATTTTATACTGGTGTATTTCCTAAATGTTATGAGTATGTTAAATGTTAAGTATTATTTAATTATACAGATAGTTGTCATTTAGCAACCACAATTGCAATTAAGCCAAGTTGCTAAATGAAACTGCACCTGTGCTTACAATCTTATTTCAGCTTTCTTTTGCTTGACAGACTTGGCAAAGGTCATTAATATCAGCATTGGTTGCATCATCATCATAACTGTGAACGGTCACTAAACAAGGATTACCTACACTCAGAAGTATGTGGTGTATGAACAGATTTTATCCAGTACTACCAATAGACAAGAATGTTTGTAGGTCAGGGTTCAACTTGAAGTCCTTGAAACTTTCTGAGTTTGGTTGTTTTCATGCCACCCTCCCCACAAGGCAGATGCCCCCAAATTCAGTGGGGGAGAATAAGATCCTTGCATTATTGAGCTTGCCATCTTTTACTTTTATTATTAATGTTTTATTGATTTGATTACAATTTCTTTGTTTGTGAGTCGCCCAGAGTCATTGATAGCCAGGAGACATGTAAGTTTAATAATTATTATTAATATTGATATTGTTTCTGTTTATAGCTCCATTAGTGAAGCTCCTGCTGAGTGCTTAATCGCCTCATAGTTGTCACAAGAACAGTCTTTCACTCTTTTATGTTTTCTAGCTATCCTCATTTTTTCCTTTTTTCTCTGTCCTGTGCTCAACTATCTTTTCTTTTATTCCTTATACTCCATTCCCCAAAATATTCCCTTAGTTTTTTGGCTGCCTTCCACACAGGCTGTGAGCTGCTGGGAGGGCTACGTGGAGATGCGTGAGGGGGGGCATGAAGCCGCACTACGTGGACCAGCCGTTGGGATGGACATCCCACCCGGGGATTTCTGCCCAGGAGCGTGCCAACTTTCCTCGCCCTTTGAAGCGTTCCTCCCTTCCCCTTCCGTTGGGCTGATAGAAACTGGTCGAGGTTCCAGATGATCCCGAAAGAAAGACGCCGGGTCCTTGAAATCGGGCTTGCGTGTGGTGGAGGAGCCAAAGTTAAGACAGGGGAGAGCAGTCTGACCTCCTCCTCATGCATCTCCATGCAGCCCCCAGTGGCTCGCAGCCTGCGTGGGGACGAAGGGCCCGCTTGGCAGGCACGGCGGTCCGGGTTGGAGGCCCGTTTTCTGGAAATGTGATGCGAGAGAGAGAGATAGGCCAGGTGCTCCCAATCAGAGTTCCAGGTACAAGGGCTGCGGTGAAAGCCTGCCGCAGGGGCTCACGCCATCCAAGAAAACACTTCTGGTGAGGGGCTTCGAGAGTTAAAGTCATGGCACCTTTGCAAGAACAGAGTTCCCCTTATAGAAAGAAAAGTCTGGGTCTTTCAGTGAGAAGACAAATTCGACATGTTCCTCTGCGTGTGGCGGAGGCAGCCAGAGTTAAGACAGCGGAGAACAGTCTGACCATGTTCTGTTCACAGCGCGCTTTAAATGAAAAAAAAAGAAAAAAAGTAGAATCCTACTGAAGACACACTAACCTGCTCGCACACTTCATCGGACTGTAGGCGGAAAGAGGAGTGCCAAAACACCATTCCATTTCCTTCCTTCCCTACCCCTCCTCACCTGCCACTCCCCCTCGCCGGCAGAGATCGGCAATCCAGATTTGGGGAGCTGAATGCGCTGCTACTGCCCAGGAGGAGAAGAACATCAGAAATGGGCTCTCTCGCAGCACCTACTTTCTCTCTTCTTCTCCCGAGTGGTAACAGTGTATCCAGCTCAACGAAAAGGCCATTCCGCATGGATGGCTGGGGCGCGTGGGGCAACTTCCCCCTCCCTTTCCATTCTCTCCGGCCTCACCTCCTCATGTCATATTGTTTGCACAGCAGCTGCGCATGCATCTAAGTATGGGGGGGCTTTTTTGGGGGAGGGCTTATTTTACCGCATTCGCTTGAAAGCCCAATTATCCAGACATATCTTAGTTTCGGGGAAACACATTAGGATAATTTTAAAACAAAAGTTTAGAAGCTCAAGAATAACCAGAAAATGAGAACTTACAAGTTTTATATCTTTAAAGACCCAGATTGTTGGGGGCAATATGCTGACTCTGTAAACCACTTAGAGACGGTAGTAAAGTACTGTAAAGCGGTTATAAGTCTTAAGTGCTATTGCCATTTTATTTTAGAAATGAACTCTTTTTTTAAAAAAGAAAGAAAGCTGGGGGTTTGGGATCACCTCCCTACCTGTAACTTTCTCCTTATTTGTTGTCATCTGTGAAGAAGATTGTAAACTACAGCTGGTTAAATTAATTGAGCATCTACTTTTCTGCTACACCTATGTTTTTTTTAACATATAGAACTGCAACTCCCCTTTGAAGATGTTTGTTCTTGTATTGTGTATAGGTATGAGTGCAACAATTGGCCTATTTTCAAGAATAATATATTTTTTAGATAGGTATGATACAAAATGATTACTTTTAAATCACAGCTGTTTCATTTTCATTTGTTCTGTTCAGACATGCTGATAGGGTGGTTTCTAAATATGAATGCAGCTCTTCATATTTGCTGGCTCAACAAATTCTGTCTCATGTGATCATTCTAAAAAATGCATAAGTCATTTTGTGTTTCATTATTCAGAGCAGGCTGTAGTTCAGTGAGCAAAGTACATAATTTGCATGTAAGTAATTCCAGGTGCAGTCCCCAGTATCTCTGGGTCCAGTTGTGTAAAAACTGTGTAAAAGCCTGAAGAATTGCTGCTAGTCACTGTTGACTGAGGTAGAATGGACCAATAATCTGATTTGATTTAAGACTATATATATTTCTGTGTTTCATTTAAGTAAGACTGAAATGCAGAAACCTAGGCTAATATGGTTGCTGCTCCATAAAGCAGATATGTGGATTATTTTAGGTTCCAGAAAGAATAGCTCTTTCATTTTAGATTACCCTGAAAAATATGATAGTTCTATGCTTTATACCATTTAGGAACACAAAATTATTGTAAAGGTGTTTGCTGTCAGACTTTTGGAGGAGGATATGGCCAAAACATAAAAAGTTTTGGGCATTACTCTTGTTTTCAGCAATCTAGATTGGCATAGTTGAGCTAGTGTTTATAAACTCTTTCACTGGTTCCTCTATTCATAAATTCGTGTTCTTCCCTCTCACATGTTTATTATGTCAGAAACAAGAGATTATAACACAAATGGAGTAAGTTTGCCATCATCATTTCCAGCAGCACATCTGCCTTTTGTTCATACTTTGTAAGTGAGTGAGGGTATTAAGATGGGCATGTACTAATTTTTCAGACTTTGTCCCCTGCCCATTCATCCATCAGTTTATAATCAGAATTTCTAAACAGATATAAGGAAATTCTGCTTTTGTATAAAATGAAGAAAAGATTTTTGCCCCTGCCCCACAAAGTCCTGTAAGACTCTAGTTGAAGAGTGTCCAACCCGCAGCTCATGAGCCTCATACGGCCCTGTACAGCTAGTAATGTGGCCCCATAAGATTGTAAACTTTTACCATTATTATGTGGTTCTATTTTATAAAAACTATATATAGTCTATATGTAGTCCAAGACAATTCCTCTTCACACTAGGCCAGTATGGCTAATCTTTTTGCCATCGCGTGCCAAAAGTGGGGGGGGGGGGGGGTCACACGCGCCCATGCCCACACCCATAATTCAATGCAGCCAGACCTCCACACATGTGCGCCAGACCCCCCAACCTCCCCCCGCTTTTGGCACGTGATGGCACAGTGGGCCCGGTAGGCCTGTTTTTCACCCTCCCCAGGCTCCAGAAGCTTTCTAGGAGCCTGGGGAGGGTGAAAACGGCCTTTATCCCCCAGAGGCCCTCCGGAGGCCGGAAACTGTCCGTTCCCCAACTTCCAGTGGAACTGGAAGGCTGAAAATCAGCTGCTGGAGCTGAGCTAGGGCAACATTCACATGCCCACAGATATGGCTCCACATGCCACCTGTGGCACATGTGCCATAGGATCGCCATCACGGCTCTAGGCTGTGATTTCTTCTCAACTAATCTCTCTGCATTTATTTGGCTCATCCATAAAAATACTTGCAAAAGAAATCTACAGCTAGGAATGGAAGTGGTGGGATAAATGTGTACTCTGTTTAGGAAGATGGTGTTGGACTGTATACAGCTTCTATTCCCCGCCCTCCCAATTCAACCAATATTATTTCCAGAATTGTTTATTTTTAGGTTCCAGTGCTGTCACCATGGTAGCCAGCTAAGCTTCTTGTTAGACCCCCATC